TTGCCCAGCAGTTTCTCTTTATACTCTTTTATGTCGCCATACAGTGAGACACCGGCGTCCATGAGTTCATTCAAGATGACCGACTTGTATTTGCTGAAGTCAAACCGCAGCCTGAGAGTCGGATCAAAAGAATCATACTGCTGGTTGGTCAATGCATCTGCCAATGCATTCTGCAACCTAGGAGTCCAGTGGAGTTCCAAATGCAAAGACCGTTGCAGTAAAATAGCCGCGACTTCCATCAGCACAGCATTCAGCGGGAAGGACGATGTCATCCAGCGAGCTGTGATGAAAGCATTGCCGCGGTTATCGGTGCCAGCTGAGCAATGGTGTACTCCACGAGTGCCTTTGGCTGGTTCAAAGAGAAGTAGAGCGATCAGAGTTGCCAACATTTCCAGTGCCCCGATGGCCCGGTATGATTGTCCAGCCATAAAGAAAAGTGGAAACTTCAAATGATCGATCTTTTCTGAGAACCATCTGCAGCGACGAGGATTTGCATCGTCAGCGCAACACCAGCCGCCTACCCAAAGCTCCGAGCCCTGGGCCTTGGCATCGGTTCGGAAATGTTCCTTCGGTGGAGTCGAATGCCTTGCCACTTCGACCCTCCTGAAGCCTTGTTCTAAAGCCCTTTGAAGAAAGAGCAGTACAAGAGACACAGCCTTCGGCAACTGCAGCGTGCGGCAAGCTTGTACCGCCGCCGCCCAAGCATACATCGGTCCCAGGAAGGGCTTAAGGAGGGGGATCACCGAAAAGGCAAAGGAAAGACGACCCAGAACAGACCTAAGGTCCCCAACCCGAACCATCCCATCTGCCCTCGTCTTCCTGATCCAGCCAATGATCCAGTCTGCACGACTCATTGATATGCCCACTGTGCGCTTGGCCACACAGAGAGAATACCCAATCCAGGAGTGCTCGCCTCCTCCAGAAAACTTGTGCCACGCAAAAGGAACTCCTAGCACAGACAGAAGAAGTATGGATGCCAGGATTCTCAACAGCCCATCGGAAGACTGGGTGATCCATAACAGGTCATCCACGTATGACAAGAGACTCGTCTCGTCCTTGCCATGGCAATAGCCTACCCAAGCCTGCCATCAAGCGGAACCACCAGTAACTCGCGCTACTGATGCCGAACGTCCCCACAGCATTCAGGAATACAGGGCCACCTTTACGTGCACGGCACGCTTGACGTGGCCAGTCCTGTTCACGTACCTTGGATAAGCGATGTGCCCTGGAAATGTCACCGCTCAAGCTGAAGGTAGCATATGGCAACGAGTGCAAGGTCGCCTCGAGATCAGCACCCGAAGGATAAGCCTGCCCATCCCTGACCCTAATGGAGTCGTTGACATGCTGCCCGTGGGCCCCATCATGTACGACTCGCACGGAGCCGTCTGTTTTGGGGATGCAACCCAAAGATGCAATGGACAGCCGATCCCCAAAGAGCTCCTGAGCCTCACGCAGATCCATTTTTACCATTGCACCCAGGGCGATCTCTTTCTCGAACTGTTGCTCGACCTTAGCTTCGAAGCCATCCACCGAACGATAGTTGTCCCGAAGCTCCTCACACTCATGACCGTGAAGTCCCGGTGGCGATCCACTCCCAGCGGCACCCCATTAGCGAAAGAATGTTTTGATTCAGTGTACTGTCTCCAGTCTGGACCGTCCGCCATCCGAAGCAGCTCCGAGATTGCATGCAAGTAAAAGGGTTGTCGCTCCGGAACCAGTTCCAGCGGTGCAGTGGAGCCTTGATCTCGCAGGACTCCGAAGACCAGATGCCTGGCCCGCTTCAGCAGGTCCTCCGAGAAAGGTGAAGAAACGCACTTGCCAGTTGCCAAGAAACAAACCACTGTCTTGTAATCGATGTTAGCAGTGACGAAGCTCAAAAGTTTGTCCATCAAGGATTTATGAAGGGAGAGCCCTGGATCCAGGTCCGCACACGGCCGGGCGTGCGGCGGCCATCTCCCAGGCGAGGCCAAGCCATGGCCATCCGAGAAGAGCTTGACCTTGCCAGCAGTTCGCGTCGTCATAGCAGCGCCAAAGCCAAGCTTGCCCGAGCCCCGCTTGGGCTTGACACGCCCGTCTTCATCCTCTTCTGATGTT